TCTCTCTCTCTCTCTCTCTCAGCCCACTTCCTTGTAGACTCTCTACTGACAAGGCTGACTCCCTGAGAGACATCCCTGAGGAGAAGCCACGTGGACCTAGCCTGATGCTGCCAGAATCCTGGACCTGGAGAAGCCATGTGGAGACCCTGCCAGTGCTGAAATGCTTACAGTGCCACTGGATCCACAAGACCTCCCACCCACTGACCTGTGATCTTCCTGCATTTGGTGTCATTTCATATGTTTTGTGAGTCTGAAGAGGACTTTATAGATTGGTATCAGACACATGGGCTAATACTGGACTTACAGACTTGATCTGTACTGGGCTGGGATGTTTTCTCAATATCCAATTACCCTTTATATAAAACTGTCTCTTATGCACATATGCGTGTCCATGGATATGTTTCTCTAGTCTACCCGGACTAACACATGCCCTCACTGTACTTTATCTGGACATTTATAGCCATGTATGTTTCAGAGAAGAGCTTTATTTAGATTTGCCTGTACTTTATCTGGACATTTATAGCCATGTATGTTTCTAGAGAAGAATTTATTTAGATTTGCCTTAGATTTGTCTTAGATTTGCCCTGCTACCTATGGTCAAAGGAAACAAAGTTTTGGCCCAGCATTGCCACTCTTCCCTTCCAGCATAAAAGAGCCAATGACTCTGGTTTCTAGGGATGGAGCTAGGAGAATATGCTTGCTATGGCTTGAGTTGACACTTCCTCCCACCAATACATGTCAAAATCTATGAGTTCTAGATATCCTAGAAACCATAAAGACTGAAAGAACCCCTGAAGCAATGACCCTGAGATCATCTTTTTAAATTAAACCAAAAATACCCCCTGACGCTTCCTAAAACCAAACAATAGTTTAGCTTCACTAGTGAAAAAATGCCTGTCTTGAACAATATTCTGCATCCTAATGTGGTGAGTAGCACCTGGGGTCTTAAGAGCACTCGAGCAGCCTTCTAAGATGCAACTACTGGTCAGCCCTTGTCTGGAGGAAAGAAGGGTGCTGAAAAACAAAGGCACGTGGAGACAGTCTACCATACTAATGGACCACGTGAACAATAGTCTTCACAACCTGAAACCAGAAGTAGGGGTTGCTGGCTACTACTGCCAGCAGCTCTGAACAGGATCACGTTAAAAGGGCCTGGACAGAGCGAGAGAAGAAAGTAGAACAAAACTCAAAAATCACAAAAAATACCCGGTTTGCTGGTCAGATAGAGGCTGGTAGGACCCCTGAGACTTACTCATCCTCCAGTCACTGTAGCAGTTACACAATCTCCTGGCAACTTGAGAGAAGGGGTGGAGTCTAACCTGTCAATCAGGTCATAGCCTATGATGTCTCTATGTGGGCATGGCCTTCTCCTGAGGATTCTGGGAACTCCTGCCTTCCTCCCTCAAAGAGGGACACACACACTCTTTGTGTCTCCTTCCTGTTGAGGAGCCATGTGGAGACCCTCGCCAGTGCTGAGATGCTTCCACCACCACTGAATCCACAAGACTTTTCACACACTGGTCTGTGATCTTCCTGCATTTGGCATCATTGCATGTGCTGCAGGAGTCTAAAGAGGAGCCTATGGACTAGTATTGGACATATGGGCTTATATCCGAATTGTGGACTTCATGGACTGGGTTGGGTTGTTTCCTCAATATACAATTGCTCTTTGACATAAAGCTCTTTCTTATATGTATATGAGTGCCAGTGAATTTGTTTCTCTAACACAGTCACTCTTCACGTCTGGGATCAAACTCACTCCTGTGATTCAATTTCCAACCCCGCAATAGATAGGTCTATCAGGTATGCACATGTTAAAATAATCACAGGAAATAAAAAATTCAAAGTTCAGAAAGGTAAGGAGAGCAGAATGTAAACAGGAAACACAGGGAGGAAGTGAGAAAAGTGATGCCAAGCCATGGGGACTGCTATCAATGAGATGAAACAGACTGTGCAGGAAGAGTGGAATGTAAAATAGATGATCTGCATCACAAATCTTCACCCATTCACCATAAAAAGTTTTTTAAAAAATCTGTCATGAGCAGTACCCTCTTTTAAGAACTATATATATGGGATCAAATTGACATTTGCAGCTTGAAAGATTAGAGAGGAGACTGACAGGGGCAGGAGGTGTCTGTTAATGGTGTAGGAGCGATTCCGAAAAAGAGGAGGGGAATGCTTACACAACCGGAGAAATGGAACCAATGGCCCGAAAAGCCTCTCAGAGAACGACTGGAAATTGGCACCGTATGACGTCTTACCTTTGCGCCACCAAGGTAAGTATGAAGGGCAGGGAACGGAGACATTTCCTGGGGAGGAATGAGGCCAACACACATACTTGTCAAAGGTCCCATTACAGAATATGCCTGGGGAGAGAGAGGAAAAAAAAACAAAAACCAAGCTAGTTTCCATGGAGTTCACTCCAACTCATGGCAAGCCTGTGTGCAGAGAACTCTGGTCCAGTGGTATTTCCATGTCCGTCCCCTTTTGGAAGCAGATGGCCAGGCTGTCTTCTTGCTGCCTCAGGCTGGGTTCAAACCACCAAGCTTTCGTTTCTTAGTCTAGCACATTCATCTTTGGCAGCATGCAGGGGCTCCTCTGCAGAGAACAGGGGTCGATGTAAACAATAAAGCTTGAATGCAAGTTCACGGGTGTGGGGGTTGGGGAGGCAGGGGACAAGCAGTCAAGAACCCAGAATCCATCTTCCTGGCATTTGGCAGCTACTAGAAGCAGTGCAAGGACCAGACAGGTCAGGGATGTGGAAGAAAAAGGTGGGTGGACGTGAATGCTTAACGCAAGCCCCCAGTGAATCCCCTCTGACGATAGACCTGCGATATAACTAGCCTTCCTATCATGCAGAATGTATTGGAAAGTGGGTTATTTCAGATGCAGTTAGGTTAAAATTCAACACCTTTTGACCCATTTTAAATTTGTGCTTGCTTGTAATATTTTCTGCTTTCTTTTCGATTGAAGTTTTTCTCCATTTTACTTTAGTTGGTTGTCGCTGTTGTTGTTTTCTTTCCAAAATATTTTTCTGTATACGAAATCCAGGATAGGTAAATCCATAGAGACAGTAACTAGACTGATGGCTCATAAGGGGTATGACAGGGGAGGTTGGGGAGAAATGAGGAGTTATTAACATCGAGAAAAGAGTGAGGAAAATGTTATAAAGTTAATTGTGGTGATGACTGTACAACTCTTCTTGATATGACTGAACTATTGAATTATATGGTCTGTGAATTTTATGTCAATAAAACTGTTCAAACAATAGATGAATGAATGAAATTTTCCTAAATACAAGTATAAACCATGGGGGGGAAAAGAATGCTAAATTCAACCTCAAACATTGCAACTTTGTCTACCCAAAGTGACCCCTGGTCGTAGTAGTCAACTATGTGACCATGCACATCACACCGATCTTGGTTTATTTTGCATGGGCTGAACTCTCTCAGAAACTTGGCCTCAGGAAGACATTTGAAGTTTTCGTCTGTGGCCTCCTGTTCTATAGTTAAGTAAATAGTTATTAAACTGTAAACAGTCTGAGCTGAATAAACTGTCATGATCTGTGAAATGGATGAGGTTTTTAGACACGTATATCGAACACAGAAATACCTGGTTGTATGTGAAGACTGATCCAATGATCATTAGGAAGTATGTCGGTCATCTGAAATTCAGGGGATGTGTTATATCCAGCACTTGGCGCTGGGAACCTACACACATGAGACTCAGCCTAATAGGCTAGCAATCAAATGAAGGGGGTGTTTCAGGCTGGATTTCATATATCTGTATTGCAAACTCCTGACTTCTGGGAGAAAGCATCATTCCCCACCATCTTCTCCCTTTTTGCCAAAACCAAGGGGCCAGTGGGAGTGAATAGCCAGGCTAATCCTACCCAAACCCCTACGAAGGCAGCTCCCCCAGACACCGAGTGCGCATGTGTGACACGCACACTAAGTGACAGATACGACAGGCACAACCCCAGATAAGGAAGACCTGCCATTCTGACTTCAGAAACCAGTGTCGTCGCCCCAAGAGGGAGGTGGTTCTTATTGATCGTTAGCATTGATTGTCCCTGCCTGGGATGAAGAGATCTTTCGAGGGAGAAGGGTATGGCTTGAAGCCTGGTCAGTAAGTCTCCTGTCAATCTCCCAAAGGTGGTGTGGGCCTATGAACCAGAAGAATGGAAGTTCAAATCCGCCAGTAGCTCCTCGGAAGAAAGACGAGGCTGTCTGCTCCAGTCAGGGCCGTCTCAGAAACCCTACAAAGCGTTGGGATCATCTCAATGGTGAGGTGCTGGGTTTATTGTGGATTTTGGTTTGTTTGTTTGGTCTCAGAACCCAATTGCCATGCTCGGAGAAAGCCCAGGTCACAGGGAGGGGCTCTAGCCCAAAGCCCCAGCTGAACTGTCCACTGACAGCCAGATCGACTAACAGAATTGTGAGGGGACAAACCAATATTCTTGTAAGCCAGCCCCGTTGTGCCCTCTCTGTACTCCTCACCCACAGGAACTATAAGAGATAACGATTGTTCCAAGCCACTAAGTTTCAGGGTCACTTGTTGAACAGCCAGAGCTAACTAACAAATGTGCTTACCAGAAGGTTCCTTGAGCAAGTCTCTCAGACACTTCTCTTTGTACTGAGCCCACTTCTGAGTTGTCTCCTGAAGGAGAGAGCCTGTAATCTGAGCAGACAAAAACATTTTGATTCCCAGAGTGCAACAAACCCAAGGACGGCCCTGCTACTATTTCCCACCATGCTTCTCAGGCCTTAGCACTCAAAGGTCCCTACTGGTCTGTGTACCAAAAACATAACAAATGCCTTTGGTGTCTTCTGTTTGGCCTTAAGATGATGATACATGTGAACTTCGTCTCCACCAGAGAATATGATCATACTGGTTTGAATACAGATGCACATGATTTCTATCAAAATCCTCAGAAAGAACTGTGGCTGGGGCCTTACATGCTTGTCTTCAAACAAGCAGCCATCTAAGAGAGGTGACAGCCCTCTTGGAAGAAGCACGTCAACCTGTGTGATCCAAGGATTGTAAATAAGACAATCTAAGACCAGACGAGAGAATTCTATTAGAGCTTAAATTCTGAGCTCCTGGTTTGCAGAAGGCTATGAATGATGGTGTAAACTCAAAATCCGTTTACAGGATCCACATGTGGATTGAACCTCTGGTGAATCCCCTCAGACCATTGACCAGAGATGTGAATAGTCTTGCTATCAGACAGAGTGCATTGGTGGCTGGAATGATGCAGATGTACTCAGGTTAAAATTTAACACTGTATCATTTATTCTCCCTTTGGACCCATTTTAAAGTTGCTCCAGTTTTTATTATTTTCTGCATTGTCTTCTATTGAGACTTTTCTCTGTTTTATTTTGTTGTTGGCGTTTTGTGTGTTTGTTGATTGTATGTTTTCCTGTATATGAGATCCAGGATAGGTAAATCTATAGACATGGTTACTAGATGAATAGTTCCTTAGGGTTATGGCAGGAGATTTCAGGAAATGGGGAGCTAGTGAGTATAAAAAAGAAGAAAAGTGTCCTAAATTTGAATGTGATGATTGTACAAACCTTTTAACTATGTTTGAACCATTGAATTTAGGATATGTGAATTATCTGTTAAAAAAGCGGTCTAAAAAAAAAGAGGAGGCACTATGCTGTGCTGAACTCTCACACCCTCATCGACAGGTAGTTGCACAGGCTCTGATCACTCTGTGGATCACAAATCACGAAGCTGGCCTCACTAAGGAAGGCTCGCTGATGTGTCAGACAAAGACAAGGAGAATTGCAGGCTCTGCATCATCCAGCAGAGCCTGGTGGCATCGTGGGTGAAGTGTTGGCCTGCAAGGGTAGCAATTTGAAACATCGGCCACTCTGGGGGAGAAAGATGAGACTTTCTACTCCCATAAAGAGGTACAGTCTCAGAAACCCACAGGTGCAATTCTACCCTGCCCTATAGGCTCACTGCGAGCCTATACTTGCTAGCAGTGAATGAGCATCATCTAGCCAAGACCCTGAAGATCCAGAGTCAAAGGCACTAGGTTTACGGCTGCTCTGCTGCTGTACAAAGGCTTGGTGTTTTTCCCCCCTTTTGACATTAACTAACCTGTCCCATTAGCCAACAAACCATTGCTGTAAAGTCAATTTTGACTTACAGCAACCTCATTTACTAGTCCTAAGGGTTGTCTTGGTTGTAATCTTTACAACCAAAGGTGTCACAGGGTGAATTCAAACCACCAGCCTTTTGCACCACCCAAGTAGTTTCTTGTTTCATTCCTGTGGTAGTTACATAATCTGGTGTCAATTTGAGAGGATTACGAGTGAAAGGATGGAGTCTAGTCTGTCAATTGGATCATAGCCAACGAAGCCTCTGTGTTGGGCATGGCCTCGTGAGAATTCTGGGAAATCCTGTATTCCTTCTTGGAGGTGGGAAACACTTCTCTCTATTCACTCCCTGGAAGACACTCTACTGACAGACACATGGAACTATGCTAGTGCCCTTAGCTGGAGAAGTCACATGGAGATCCCTGCCAGTGTTGAGATACTTATGCCACCACTGGATCCAAAGACTTTCTACCCACTGGCCTATAATCGTCCTGAATTCAGCATCATTGCATGTGTTTCGTGAGTCTCAAGAGGACTTTATAGATCAGTATCAGACATATGGGCTAATATCGGACTTATGGGCTTGGGGGTTGGGATACTTTCTTAACGTACAATTACCCTTTATATAAAACTCTCTCTTATACACATATGACTTTCTATGGATTTGTTCTCTATTCTACCCAGACTAACACAATACCTTAACCCCACTGCCCATAAGACGATGGCCACTCAGAGTGATCCTATAAAGTGTTTTCAAGAATGTAGCAGGCTGCTTCTTCTTTCTCCTGGGGAGATCAGCTAATGGATTTGAACTACTGACCTTGTGGTTAGCCATCTAACCCACAGCACTACCAGGCTTTCCCAAAAAGAACTCCACTACCATCAAATTGATTCCAATTCATAGTACATAAGGTTTCTGAGGCTGTAAGTCTTTACAGGAGCAGACAGCCCCTTCCTTCTTCTGGGAGATGAGCTGGTGGGCTTGAACCACCAACCTTGCATTTAGCAGGCCAACACTCACTTAACAGCACCACCAGAGTGCCTTCAAAAATTAAAGCGAAACCAAATGCCATTGAGTTCATTCTGATTCATAGCAACCCTATGTAGGGTTTCTCCACCTGTAAATCTTTATGGGAACAGATAGCCTCCTCTTACTCCCAGGGATTGGCAGGATTTGAACTGACAACCTTGTAGTTAGCAGCCCTATATTTTCCCAAGGCTCCTTAAAACCTACATCCTAAATTTTTTGGACTTCCCAGATAGCTGGGTTATTATCTAACATCTTCTATAGGGGTATCTGTACCACTTTGTTGTTAAGATTGTTCTCAAAGAGTTTTCTCTTCTGTTCTTGAATTTAATCTTCCCAATTGAACACCAATGGTGTGCCAGACCTTGCCCTAATGTGGAATTACAAGGGAGGTAAGCAATGTATCCATATAGGATAGGCAGGATAACCAATCCCGAGGAGAAAACAATGGGGGTGATGGCTCTGGGGGGACACGGAGAGGAGGATGTGGGAAAAGGAATGGGGAGCCAAAAAATCCATGGACTAGGTAACAACAAGAGATCTGAAGTAGATGGTGAGGGGGACGTAGAATGCCTGATGGGGTTTGATCAAGTTCAATGTAGCCTAAAGTACTGAGAGTCAAATGAAGGTCGAACATGATAGTGGGACAGTAGGAAAGGAAAAGGAAATAGAGGAAAGAACTAGGAGGCACCGGCCATTTATAGAGGTGTGAATATAGGCATGTACATATGTAAATATATTAATCTATAATGATAGAGATAGAGGTCTATGTACATATATTAAATGTCAAGTATTATGGTAGCAGATGAGCATTGGGTCGCCTCTACTCAAGTTCTCCCTCAGCACAAGAACACTCCATTCTAATAACCTGGCATTTTGTGATGCTCATCTTCCTGACATGCTTGCTGAAGTCAAAAGCAAATGTGGTGAAGAAGGCTAACGGTTCCCGGTTATTAAAAGATATAGCTTCTGGGATCTCAAAGGCTTGAAGGCTTGAAAGCAACCATCTAGCAGGGAAGCAACAAAGCCCACATGGAAGAAGCACACCAGCCTGTATCATCATGAGGTATCAATGGGATCAGGTATCACGCATCAGAAGACCCACAACAATCAAATATACTGATGCAAATGATGGGGGTCGGAGTGGAGACCCAAAGTCCAACTGTAGACAATTGGATATTCCCTCAGGAAGGATCACAAGGAAAGAATGAGACACAGAGGGTACAGCACAGCACTGATGGGATACACAACATTCCTCTAGCTCAGGGGTTCTCAACTTGTGGGTGGCGACCCCTTTGGGGGTCCAACAATCTTTTCATAGGGGTCGCTTAAAACCATCAGAAAACGCATATTTCTGATGGTCTTAGGAACCCAGACACTGCTCCTCTATCAGTCTCCAGGCAGGTCCACCCACATGCAGAAATGCCCACATACGAGTACCCAGCATGAAGGCTGTTTCCCATGCTCCACCATGCTTCAAGACAACATTTAATTTATTTGTCATTAGAAATCAATATTTCACAATATATAATCACAAATTGTTCTTGTGATTAATCACTGTGCTTTAATTATGTTCAATTTGTAACAAAATACATATGCATATCAGATATTTACATTACAATTCATAACAGTAGCAAAATTATAGTTATGAAGTAGCAACTAAAATAATTTTATGGTTGGGGGGTCACCACATGAGGAACTGTATTAAAGGGTCATGGCATTAGGAAGGTTGAGAACCACTGTTCTAATTCTTTAATGCTTCCTCCCCCCACTCCCCACTATCATGACCCTAGTTCTATCTTACAAATCTGGCTAGACTGGAGCATGTACACAGGTACAGATAAGAGCTCTGGACACATGGAGATAAGAGTTTATCTCCAGGACAGATAAACCCCTCAGGAACAGTAATGGGAGTAGTGATACCATAAGAGTAGGGGAAGGTGGTGGGAGGAAGGGGGAGAAATGGGAAACAGATTTTAATGATCAAAGTATAACTTCCGCCCCCACAGGGGGATGAACAACAGAAATGTGGGCAAAGGGACAGCAGATGGTGTAAGATATGAAAATAACAGTAATTTATCATTTATCGGAAGACCTCAAGGGTGGGACGGTTGGGGAGGAAGGGACAAAAGAGGAACTGATACCAAGGGTTCAAGCAGAAAGAAAATGTTTTGAAAACGGTGATGGCACCATATGTACATTTGTGCTTGATACAATTGATTTTGGACTGCTACAAGAGCCCCCAATAAAACGATGTATTAATTAAACCAAGAAAGGGAAGTAAACACAAGCAAGATACAGTCACTCCCCTAAAGGCCTTAGAATCAATTAAAGCAAAATCCAAATTCACTGCTATCGTGTAGATACGGACTCATAAATAACCTATAAGAATGGTAGGTGGATGAAGGGAGACGGCGGGCAGTGTAAGATATGATAAAATAATAATTTATAAACTATCAAGTGTTCATGAAGGAGGGGGGTGGGGAGGGGGAGGAAGAAAAATGAGGAGTTGATTCCAAGAGCCCAAGTGGAAAGCAAATGTT